ATTTCCTTTTTATTTAAAAAAAAATGAATGTTTGAATTGGGGAATATGAAATATAATACTTTGTAAGTCATAGTAAAAACCTTTATTTACTATGGTAAAAACTTTGATTTACTAGAGTAAAAACTTTGAAACTGTAGTAAACTTAAGCTAATAATTGTATAGTAATTGTAATTTTTTTTTCTTTTGTCAATAATCTGCCTCATTTTAGAAATTGTGTGTACTTAACATATGATCTTGTGTATTTAATCAACTACTTGGAGACATAGACTCCTTACGCAGGTGATAATGGTGTATTGCTACAGAAAAAACGGAAGTTGACGATAGACGGTTGAATTCATCACATTTATCATAAGTCTAGTTGTCAATTCGCCATCAATATTTTTTTCTGGTAAATTATCCGTAATTTTTAATTTTCTATTAGTTTTATATTTGAATAATAGTATTTTATCGGTTTTGCATCGGTACAAGCCTTAAGCTTGAACAAAATGCACAGAAACAGATACGCATTTAGTCGGACATACTGAAACATTGACAACGGATACAAAAAGCCATAACCCAATAAAAATAAAATTGCGGAAAGCATTAGGATCCAATGCTGGAAAATCTTTTCCATTACCCATAGGTGGTCTGTCTGAATATCGAATATAAAACTAGCAAATTTCATTATCTGTCAAATCTTGCCGACTGTTTGTACAAAAATGTCTGAAACAATATCTGAAGCCTCTTCGGTTCATAAGTTGAATGGACAGTTGTTTCTTCTTTTTAACGGTGGTATTTACACATTTTGCCTATGCTCGCCTCGAATCCCCCCTGAGAAATGACAATGTTATCGGCATATCATTAGGATGGGTATATTTCCACTAATCCAATTTCACTGTCTCCTTTCTCACGAGTTCAAAATGTCTGAATGAATTAAGTAGGGCCTATAGAATGAGAATAGATGGTCTCTGTGATGAAGAGGAGTTATCTGCAATGCTTGCCTGAGGTCAGCTTTTTTCCAGAATCTCTTATTACATTATTTCTTTGTATGATGACGTCTCTTTTCGGCAAGTGCAAGGATTTTAGTTTTCCAAAGGCAAATACTGAAAATAACATAAACAATACAGAAATTGAAATATTTTATTTTCAAATATTTCAATTTCTGTATTGTTTATGGTATTTTCAGATATGTCTGAAAGATTACTTAAAATAACTAGGTAATTTCATGCAGACTCCCTGCGAAATCAAACGTATTCCCTTTTTCTGAGAAATTAATTCATTCTTGTATGAATTCCTTTTTTGTAGCGATGAACCCAATTTGCATGATTTCAACATAAATCTAACGCACTGCATCAATATATTGTAATTTAAATCACAATATAATAACGAGGGGCTTGACGTAATGTGTACATATTGTAGCATCGTTGTTCCCCTACTGTGGCCTTTCTAAAGGTCATGATTTACACAGACATGAATAATTATACAGTACTAAAAATAGGATGGTTGTTTGTAAATTGGACTAATTAAGGGTCTCTTGTTCTTAAAACATCCCCATTTAAAAAACTAAGCCCTTATTCTGAAGACATATTATCGCCTGTGGGATCATGGTATATCAAACATGAATCCACATTACTTGGGGATAGCTGCATACTATTTTGATTGATAGTGGACTGGTGTTCTTGAAAAGACAATGTATATATTCCTGTACTGAACAAGTTTTTCCTCCTCGTCTTGAGAGACATAATTTGAACTACTGAGTATTTAAATTTACAGTTAATAGAAGAATTTTCATTGTGTTTTGTTATTTATTGACCTATGGTTTTTGTGAGGATTTTAAAAACACTCTTCTCATTAACTATTTCTTACCTCCTATTTATATGGATTTTAACCATTCATTTGAACAAGTAGACCTGAAAGGATATTTGTCCTTTTTCAGCAAAACTTGCATTATGCAACTATGTATGAAATGTATGGAGATAACGAACAATATTCAAGCTCAAAGTCCATTAAACAATACAAATTTTGGAGCAGAGCAAACACGGACCTCTAAAACATCAGAGGTGGGATCGGGTGCCATGGAGGAGTGAGCATCCCCTGCCGACCGGTCACACCCGCCGTGTGCTCCTTGTCATGATCAGGAAATAACGTCCACAATTCAGTGTGTAAAATAATGGCCTAACAATTAGTTTAAAAACGTCAGTAAGCATTTGACTTAATGATAAATTGTATTTGCTGACAAGGTCATTGTATCCACCATAGAACTTACGGAATGACGACTTTAAACGAGACTGCTGATATTCTAAGTTTCATCAACTTGTTTGTCAATAACTTACCCCGTTTTAGAAATTGTTCATACATAGAGCATGCTCTTGTGTATCGAATCAACTGAGAGATATAAACCTCGTATGCAGGTGTTGTTTAAATATTGTATATTTCACTATCTTGTACACTCTTCCCAGATTTCAGATCATAGACAACGCCCTCTTAATCATGTAAATAAAACTAATATTTCATGTTTCAACAGCTATGTGTACATGTATTTGAATCAGTATATATGTCTGCTTCCATCCACACTCACATTGTGGAATCTTTTCGTACATTTAATAAAATCAATACCGTACTAATTACAATAAAAACAAGAGCAAAGAAAATATCAATATGTAGAGTTTACGAAACAGAAACTGTAATTAAATATTGTTCAGTGGTGACCTTATGATATTAGTTCTAATTACCGGTAGATGTTTTCGACTAATTGATTAATTTCAGACAAGTTCAGGGGAAAGTACTTATTCATAATAGTTAGAATACATTTTGTACTTGTACATGTAATATTACACCTTAACAGTGTTACATTGTTGCCTTACATTTGACTTAAACACCATGCTCGAATAGTCAACAAAATACGTGTTTAAGGCACGTGAGGATAAGAAAAATTTATAATAGTGAATATGGGTTTTGGGGGGTTTATAGAGCTATAGATCATCGCTGTAATCCGAATTATCACATGCTCCAAGATTCTCCGCATTCAATACTATTTCCCGTCCTTGTAAGCGAAAAGGTACTGTTAACACTAAGACATGGTCTAATAAAACCCATTAATATACAACTATATTTAATATTCCTATCATATAATGATGAAAAAAAAATCTCCTAGAAAAACATGTAGGACTTAAGTTCAAGGTATAAAATCAATCATTACCTCGTCATACTTTCATAAGATTACGTAATTGTTCACGAAAGATCTTTATGCTGAATATTCATGAGTTTTTGTAAGCAAGGAATTATTTCTTTTATTACGACTTAGGCACAAGACATAGGATAATTGGAAATTATATTTTTTCGTCATTTGAACATATGATAAACAGACCTAGACGATAATCTCCATAGAATTTTAAAAAAATACGACAACTTACGTACTTAACACTTGTGGACCATACAGATTTGAAGAAGATTTGATGGAACAAGATTAATTAAACAAATAGGCTACTCCTTTTTAACATTTTGCTTATCATATATATTTGAGAAAAAGGCTATACATAAATCTTTTGATTGGTTTCGTTAGATTAAGCATCCCAAAGGGAACCTTTATTTAAAAAAAAGAAGAACCAGACCTTACTATAATGTGAAGTGTTAAATAAGACTAGGAATTTGCAGTGACAGTTGATATTTGTTTTGAGGACTCATCCCAAAGACCCTCTTTAAACAACCTTTGTCCCTTTTCTTCGTCTCAGGTCTTGCTAAGTTATATTTCAAACCAATCATCTGCTCTTGATGCAGAAGTCTACATATGAACCTACATGTACGACATCTAATCCAATACAGGAGTAAGTTCGATATAAGAATGATTCAAAGTTCGTCATGTCAAACACACGTCATACACTGCATACTGAAACATATCTTAAATGTATGACTTGTAGAGTGTGTCTGACAATGATAGCAAGAGACGTCAACAATTATCTCGAGATCCAATGTGAATGTACTCAACAAAAGTTTCAAGGAACAACTAACCAAATCTGTATTCTGTTGATATGAACGATCCTGCTATACTATTCTCATTGCTAAAGAAATGATTTGACATTTCTTACCATTCTTAGAATAAACATGCTACATGTCCTTCACCAATAATGTTACAAAAGTACCATTGAAAGTACTGTTTTTATGTAGCCTTAAATAAGGAAATGTGTGTATTAATGGGTTTTATTAGACCATGTCTTAGTGTTAACAGTACCTTTTCGCTTACACGGACGGGAAATAGTATTGAATGCGGAGAATCTTGGAGCATGTGATAATTCGGATTACAGCGATGATCTATAGCTCTATAAACCCCCAAAAACCCATATTTACTATTATAAATTTTTCTTATCCTCACGTGACTTAAACACCATGCTCGAATAGTCAACAAAATACGTGTGACAAAAAAAGACTAGGTAATTTAATGTACTCATCTGAAAGGTTTACAAGCTTCTTACTACAGTCAATGTATATAATAGAAGAAATAACAACTATATTACATATTTTCTCGTACAGTATCAATGTTCCCTAATTGTATTATTGTTTAGTCTTTTTGTTTGTTATGATATTATTTATAAATTTGAAATTTCAGGTAAATTCCTTCTCTTTTTAACCATGACGCAACTTACGTAGCTACTTATTTTCTTTTTGAAGAGTTAATTTATAATCAAATTATATTTTGAATACAAAGATGTCAATTGTTTTTTATATTAATTATCTGATTGTGTATGTTATAACTAAATTATGTTTTTTACACAAAGTCGTGTTCTATGTAACCAAAACACAGAGCTTAAAAGTATACAGTAAGTGCTGATTTCTCTGATTTTGGTGAGAAAAAACGAATATGAATAGGCACATAAAAGATCGCAGTATATGGTATTGAATAGGAAAACGGGCAAAGTAAAGAAAAGTTAACAACTTAACACATATTTTGAGGTTAAGTTTTTATTGCAAAAATAAACTATTAATGTATACATGTTATAAAAAAAATCTTGAAATATTTTACTCACCCGTCGATGCAGTAGATGGCAAGAGTTAAAAGAACTATACTCAGTACTGAGCGAGGGCTCTGAACTCCATCTATAGCCAACCACATTGTAACAGACTTGTTCGTCAAGTTGTTTGAAAGAATAAATGTAAACTAACACGTTATATCTGTTTTGTTTAGGTTACACAGCTTTCATTCCTTAATGACAGTATCTATCAAGTTATCACAGCGGTAAATGAAGACCAATGCTCGGCTTATAAAGATTACCGCTGCTGATGAATATTGATTTTAAAGCCATGACAGAATCGAAGTCACGCCTCTTTTACCCAGTATCTCGTGGGCAAACACGTACTTTCACACGGTTTTCTGTCAGAGGACATGATCAGCTTCCGCCTGTCACCATCTGATACCTAAATATTAGAATCGGAAACGCTCTGCAATCGACCAAACAAAGTGTGAGATTAATTCAATATTACACGTTACTGTTGTTGGTTTTCTTTTTTTACTTTTGAAGAAAACGAATGTGCATTTTCAGAACTGTTACCAAAATAGCAATTAATTTAAGGAAATGATCAATTTAAAGGTTCCCCCGGAAAACCAGAAATATATGTATGAAATTTGAGATAAGGGTAAGAGGGGTTGGGGGGTGTAAAGGGCAATGTGTCATTAGAATCATGAATGGGGTTAGTTTTTTTATGTGCATCTAGTGTCGAGAACTACACTGGTTCTAGACCAATTTAGGACATTTCAGTTCTCGGACAGGCCACTTAATGACAAGATAGGCTAAAACCCCCCTTTTTAGACCTCACTTTGGGTTGTCAATTGAACAATGCAATAGTTCATAAACAAAACCTGTTTTCATCCCTGACTCAAAATGAGTGTTAATTTTGCATTGTAAGTGATAGCATACACAGAGTCCCAGGAAGAGAATTTTCTCATTTTATTCAAATTTTCATTAATTTTAATACACATTTTATATCAGAAAACACAGAACACAAGCTTGACTATCTTCTGATTTTTTTATATTTCATGTATGTTTAAATAACATTTTGAGTCTGAAAATCTCAGATAGGTAAGCTTGCGTTCTATGTTCCTGAAGTGAAAAGTAACTCGAAAGTGTCAAAATTTCAAGAATTGAGGAAATTCGGTAAAATGTTCTCATTTGATACCCTCTTGTGGCCGCCGTATTCGCTTTGAATCGAAATTAATGCTGGTTTTAAAGTATGTCACTCGTGCTTTTTCAATAAAAATGGAACTCGTAAATTTACCTACCTTGTCATTGGTCATTTGCAAAATTATTTTGTTAAAAAACATTCTGATTGTACATACAAGTACTCTGAAGTTGATATTAAAAAGATGCTTGAGTTTCTGATTGACAATATCTATGTGGTTTTCGGAGACCAGGTCTTCCAACAATCTGTTGGAATTCCCATGGGTACCAGTTGCGCCTATTATTAGCAGACCTATTTTTGTATTCATATGAAGCAGAATTTGTTCAAAATCTTATACATGAAAAGAAAAAAAACACTTGCTGTGGCCTTCAACTCGACATTTAGATATATTGTCAATTAACAATGGTTATTTCCATTCTTATGTCGATACGATTATTTCCAGTGAGCTTGCAAATTGAAATAAAAGATACCACAGAGTCTGACATATATGTTTCATATTTGGAAATTTACTAGAAAAAGACGTTAATGGTAATCTAAAAGCAAGCTTTATGATAAATGTGATGACTTTAACTTTACAATCGTCATCTTCCCTTACTTATGCAGCAATATACCTTCATCACCTGCATACGGGGTTTATATCTCTCAGTTGATTCGATTGGCAAGAGCATGCTCTACGTATGAACAATTTCTAAAACGAGGTAAGTTACTGACAAACAAGTTGATGAAACCAGAATATCAGCAGTCTCGTTTAAAGTTGTCAGTTCGTAAGTTCCATGGTCGATGCAATGACCTTGTCAGCAAATACAATTTATCATTAAGTCAAATGCTGACTGACGTTTTTCACACTTATTGTTAGGCCATTATTTACACACTGAATTGTCGACGTTTTTTTCCCGTTATTTCCTGATCATGACAAGGAGCACTCGGCGGGTGTGACTGGTCGGCAGGGAATGCTAACACTCCATGGCACCTGATCCCACCTTCTGATGTTTTAGTGGTCCGTGTTTGCTCTGCTCCAAAAATTGTATTGTAATGGACTTTTGACCTTGAATACTGTTCGTTATCTCCATACATTTCGTAATAAGAGTTATATCAAGGATTTTTTGAGAAGTAAATATTGGATAACTTCTCATGAAGCATGAATCAAAATGGCAAAAAAAAAAATTGGGAGTCAGTGTGCATCTTACTGAGCAACGGTACAATTAACTCGACCTTTTTGAACATGTTACCAAACGTAATCATGGCAACAAATATAATCTTATATTATGGGAAATAGTTTAAATAATATTTATTTTGGGGGAAAAAAGGCCTGCAAATTAATGTGTGTAAAGTACTGCGTGGCCTATTTGCAGTAAAAAATATATTTGAAGTATTAAAAAATAAATAGGCAATAAAATATTTGTTTTGTATCAATCTTTTTACGACTTTATTGCTGATTGGTTGAATTTATCGTGTTATTTAAAATAATGTAAGAAAATGTCGGGGTCAGTGATGTAAATGTTGAGATTTTAGTTAAAATATGCAATTGTAAGCCAAAAACACATTGTAAATTTTAACTTGGACTTCTTAAACATATTTTCATTTTCGGCAAAGGCTGTTGAGTGAATGTGTAGAATTTGTTTTAAAATTATTAAGTGAATCCTATATTTAATATTCTTATCATATAATAATGATGAAAAAAATTCTCCGAGAGAAACATGTAGGACTTAAGTTCAAAATATTAAATCAAACAAATGTTTTGATGTGAAGAATTGTTTTTCTAAATATCCTTCCACCACAATAAATACTCCCCCATAACTCTTGTTTTCTTTACAATATCGTGGGCAGTTATTAAATTAAATATTGTATAATTTGCATTGTTTAATTCACATATGTCATAAAAATTAAATTGTTATGAATAATTTTTGAAGTTAGAGGTTCTGACCAAACTTTTCTTAAAAAAAAAAATGACGAGTGGCCCATACCTTAAAACAAATATCATTTAACGTTATTAATTGCAAACTATCACAATTTCAATTTTTTAAAAAAAATTTATTTAAGTAAGAGGTCAAATTCGACTGTTGCCATCATACCTTGTCTTTTAACCGTAGAATGATTTTACAATTTTTTTTTTTAGGAAGAACATATAAGAATAAGACCTCGCAGTAAGTTTTCATGTTATATAAGTTATGAAAACACTTACATTAATATTTATAACTTAAGATTAGCAAACTATATCAAATGATTTATTTTAATTTAAGGCCTGTACCATATCCTCTAAACTTTTGGAAAGTATACAACCTTCTTTCTTTTGATAAGTTTCCTCATTATTCAAATGAGCGATAAATGGGAAATTACACCGTAAACTGACGGACAAATAAAAAGTGTACTTTGACAAAAATGCACGTGAATTGCTATTGTACCCGTAAAATGTAAATTGCCCTAGAAATTATTTTGCTTGATGTGCATGCTCATCAAAAATAAAAATATCAACGAGAAAACTATTTAAATTCAAAATTATTATTTTTATTATTGCAATTTTTTATCCAAAGATTTGCGGTTCAAAATTGTCACTATTATTTTCCAAAGCAATGGACAATTCATTGAATCGGGAGTTATCGGTTATTTATATAAAGTTCAATAATTTATATTATCTTTTGATAGATTACCAGCTTAAGGTAAAATGTCCTACTTGGAGACATGTTAATTTATCCTCACATAAAGCAATTCTTAATTATCGATAAAAAATGTTTAAATAAATTCATAGTTTTGATATTTCAATAAATAAATACCGGGACACATCTCTGTAATGAAAAGGCAGTGAAGTTTTATCATTTAAAAGCTGAAGCAAATTATCAGAGTTAAATATCAGGACACAGGATCAGAAAACAAACTTAATAATCTTAAAGGTGCTCAGACGCAGATTTGAAGTTAACATTTTCTCAAATTTTCTGTATAATATCACGGCTTATATATTGCAATAGCATTTCACACTAAAATATAATTAAAACTTATTTTATCTGGAAATTGTTGGAACTACGAATTCCTGGACGCGTTTGATTTACACATCCTTGCACTTTCACAAATTTTGTCTTTATCCTTAACATTTAAGAAAAGAAGCGATTTTGTTGTGTATTAATGAAAAACATTACATCTATAATCCAGAAAATTCAGAGTAGAAATGTGCGAAAGCAAAACCTCTCACTAATATCGTCAGCCCGTGCTCAGTGTTGTGTACAGAGTTTAACAAAATGAATACACCCGTGAAACGTAAACTGTTTTTGTAAACAGGGCACGAGCTCTGTTATTGTTAATGTTAACGATTCACCGGATGTGTTCAAATGTTAAAGTCTGCACACACCACTGAGCACGGACTGACAATGCTGTGCGTGGGTTTTGCTTTCGAACATTTCTACTCTGCATTTTCTGGATTATAGTTTTAATATTTTTCATTAATACACAACAAAATTGCCACTTTTCTTAAGTATTAAGAATACAATTAAAATTTGTGAAAGTGCAAGGATGTGTCAGTCAAACGCGTTCAGAAATTTGAAGTTTCAATAACTACGAGATGAAATAAGATTTTTATTATATTTTAGTATGAAATGCTATAGCAACATATAAGTCATAAAATTATACAAAAAATTCGAAAAATATTAACTTCAAATCTGTGTCCAAGCACCTTTAAGTAAAAATGTCAAACTTCTGTAAGATATACATTAATTGTGGAGTGAAACTCTAAATTTGAAGTTTAATTAGCTTGGAGATGCAATATTGATAACATTTTTATTTTAGGCTACTTGACTTCTACATCATTTTAGTGGAATATACTTAAAAGATCACGGGCACTGATTCCAAGGCCAAAACTCCTTTCGTCATTTTACAACATCAACATAATATCAGATGTTGGAAAGTGACGATATTTACAGAAAAAATATGATATTTTACCTTTTGTCAATAAACTTACACTAGACATGCTGTAAGTATAGTTTTGTGACTGTAAATTTGAATTTTCAATCCTTAAATTTCATAAAAGAACAAGGAGAAGGCTGGTCAAAACTAAATAATGACTTCTCTTTCATGTCATACTATTTTTATCGTCGGAAATAACATTAGTCAATACCCACTGCATAACTCCCCTTAACATCTGGACTGCCCGGACAATTTCACACTCTGTTTCACTGATAGCTTGGAAA